GGGTCCTTAGACCTCCTTGCTACTTCTCAAGGTCATTGCACTCACATTTTTCGGGGCTCAACTCAGTTTGAGATGGCAACTTCCCTTGAACATGGGATTCCAAACGGTTGATCGCGATGGCCATTTGATTCACTTGAGTTTGCAACGATTGTACTTGTCCCAATTGATTCCTCATGCTTTGCAGGTCTAAATTCATCTTTTGTTGATTCGCAAGTAATTGTTTCATCATCTCTTATATGGACGGACTCGAGTTCGAAGATGGTGGTGGTGGGCGAGGCTGGTACTACTGCTGGTACCCTTGCTGCCTATTTGGTATGAAGTTGGACTGCCTATTCACTCCATAGTTGAGGTTGGGATGATCTCTCCAACCAGAATTGTAGGTGCTTGAGTAAGGGTCATACTGCTTTCTTGGCGAAGGTGCGTGGCCGGCCATGTTCACTTGCTCTGCACTTTCTTCCTGAATTAATGGCATATCTCAGTAGAATGACCCAAGGCAGCACATACCCCACACACCTTGGCTTGTGAGGCACTTTCCACAGCTAACTGTTGCACGAAGGATGTCAATTCAGATATTTGTTGTTTAGATGGAGGATGTTTCTACCTCATTCACCTTACGGGTCGAGACATCCTCTCTTGAACTGAACTGCTATGAATTTTCAGCCATCCCTTCAATCAACTCCCATACTGTGACGCCCCCACTTCTCCCTAAGGCGCACCAAAGGGTATCCGCGGAACGCCTGCCTAGCTCTCGCTAGGACTCTCAAGCAATAAACGTTCAACCTTAAAGCGATACTAGATACCAAAATCAAATTAGTACGAATACATATAGTGCGGAAACGTTCATGCTTAACAATATCCATCCATTACCCAACCTGTCAGCATATGGCTCTGATTGCCAACTGTGACAGTTTTCATGGTCACATCACAAGGTACCTATCAGCTTGCCACCCGCACGTCGTGCGTTCATAATACAACTTAAATTTCAAAATATACATCACAGATATCCGAATGATACATTAAACTTCCAAAGTACAATCATAAAGGGGTCAAGCCAAAATACACCTGAAACCCTAAAAACAAAATATATCCAAAAGGAGATTTCTCCGCGTTAACTCCATTTCCAGTCCTGTTAAGGAAAACAAATCTACAGGGAGCAAAATACTCGTGAGGCCAAGGACACACATGCAAGCACATTGTTCAAATAGCAATCTCAACTTTATCAAATAAAACCGTGATATTTCAATAAAGTACCATTTGAGCAGGAAAAATAATCAGAAACAATCCAAGGATATAGTAGCTCTCAGGAGCTAAGTTCCACTCGCTCTGCCGATGTCATTCGTATACCTTCCCGCATTGACCCTCCTGTCAACCGGGTCGGTATTTCCATTTCCGTAAATCACCACTTACTTCCCTCCGTCCACCGTACACCCCAAGGGCCCACAAGTCTATTATAAGGCGATACTCTACGAGTATGCCAAGCAGGACCTCTTATTAGTCGAGCTTATAATATCATGGCTCGCCAAGTTCCCGACCAAGCCCATTGCCGCTCGAGTTCAAGGTCGGCCTATGAGTTTGGGCGTCCCCCATTCATTTGGAAGTCGAGGAGGTTCACTCCAACGACATATGTAACCATTACATAGCATTGCATTTCATTCATTCATTCAATACATTTCATTCATTCATTTGAAATCAGAACGGATGCGATAAAGTACACACCCGCCCTTATTTTTAAAATCTCTAATAATTACCACAATTAAGCAAGTATCAAAGATTCACACACTTGACACTCACCGAGCAATTTAATAAAGATTATTCGCTGGAGTTCAAGTGTCCATGGTGAGATCCTCTGAAGGTCTCCTTGTGTGCCTGGCAGTTAATGGTGGATAATTACTCAAGTATCTCAATTATCAAGTAAGATTGTACATTAGTACGATCTAAGGAATATTCACAAAAAATGAACCTCAATTACTCGTAAATCGAAGTTCAACTTGCGTTTATGAAGTATAATATTAGTTGAGTTTTTATCATGAAAATCGTGGGCAAAACGTTTAGATAATATCAAAAGTGTAAAGAGTTCTTGAAAAACTCTATTTCTTGAAATTGGAAAATTTTCAGCTTTATCATGAATCTTTGAAAAATCGTAACTCACTCGGTACAAGTCGAAAATTGGAAAACTTTATACCGTTGGAAACCTCTTAGAAAGTACTATAAGTTCCTAGAAGACACTTTTCCATGAATCGAAGTGGAAAGTGCTCAAAAATGGGCTTGAAGGTGCAGACTTGGTTTCAAGGCAGCATTAAGTTGGATTTCGGCCAACTTTGAAAATTCGGCACGATTTACACGTTGCAAACCGGCCTCTGAAATTTGTAACCCAATTAGAGTTGCAAGTGAGGTGTATAGCAAAGCAAGCGGATCAAGAATCGGAGTTTTGAGTACCGAGATACGGTAGCTCAAAGTTGGGGAAAATTCAAGACTGGAGAAGAATTTTCCAGATTTGAACCTCCAACTCTAGAAATTTAATTAGGTATCGAAACGAACTTGGATTGACACCAAAATTGGCAGTATTTCAATACTATATGGAAGGTATCTCTCTGTCAAAATTCAGGGAAAAATACCCTCGGGAAGGTAGTTAACTAATCATCCAAAGTTTCAGAAAATTTCTAAGGCAATCTGCCTTTTGACTTTCATTTCCCAAATTCAAATCGTTTAACCAAGAAAGCTATCCAACCATGGTTCATTTGTGAAATAAAGGTCTAAGATACAACCATGATACCTTTGGTAATGGTTTAGCATCGAAATTTCAATTAATAAGATCACTCACGGTTTTTGTCCAAAACCAGTCCAAATGTTACGTTTTTCCAAAACAGGGCAGTCTTCTTATTTTGGTCACAACGCATTCAATTTAACTCGGAATGGAGTGTGGTTTATGGCGTTGGAAAATACATTCATAGGACTAAAAGTTCACAGAAGAAATCGTTCAAAATTTGGCAAGCAACCAGCTCGAAATTGAGCCTCAAGTTGCTGCCTCTACAGACCATTCCAGCAGTTCCGAGAAACAGGACAGTGTCTTAAAACGTTTGGTTCGGCTCACTCACAAAGAATCAGAACGTGCATTTTATCTCAAATTAAAGCCTGGGATGTCTAGTTTCAAACGCCACTGACGGCACATGATTTCGACATCCGAGGACAGAGTTATAGCCAAAACACCACCGCTGGTCTGAGCCATACGTGAACAGTTTCCAGATTTGCTAGTTTCCCCAAAAAAATTCATTTGCCCAACCAAACCTTATTATTTTTCAATGAAATTTTTCACACATCTAATATAACATATAAACATCAGGTTCATGCCAATAATTCACCAAAAATTGGCCTTATAGTGGCCGAACAAAACAGGGGTATTTTTGGAAATTTTTGCTTCTTGCACCCAATGAAGTTTCTATCAATTACCCACCACTAATCCATCATTTTAACCACTAAACCAACAATATAACCACCATCAATCATCAAATCAGCAACAACCCAAGTGTGGGAATCCATAGAGCCCACTTTTCAATTTTTCCAACAATATCAAGATACCCATACACATGCAATAGCTTAAGGATGCATTTCTACCATCATAAACCAAGCTTAAGGTGTAGGATGAGGTTATACCTCCTTGTTGCTCCAAACCAGAAATTTCGGTCCTCAAGATGCTCCAAGAAACCGTGAAAATCTCCTCCTTTTGCTAGCTAGATGAACTCTCCAAGCAACAAGCTAAGTGTAGTTCAAATTTGGTGTGAATCTATGAAGGTTTTGTGCAAGAATTGAAGATGAAAATGGCAACTTTGTGTTGTGTTTTTGCTGCAGAGAATTCGGCCAAGAGAGAGACTAAGAGAGAGAGTGTTTGGTCCAAATTTAGCTTCTTAAGGAAGACACAAGGTGTGGTGCAAAATCCTCCCCAAAGTCAACTCTCACTAGGGTGCGTTTGGGCGCGATTACGGCTCGATTTCTCTCGCATTTGTTTCACTAGTGCACTAAACCTCTAATGCACTTATATTCATGTAAATATTATTCACTCTTAATTGTCCCGAAATAAGGGTCTAAAGTCCCTCAAACAAAATGTGTGTGAAAACGCGTACCGTCAATTTTAACGTTATAACGCGAAACTCCGAAAATTCTTATAACGATTGCACTACTAACTATCACTTGAGTATTTATTCATAATATTACCTATTTTAGGACCGTAGTACAAGTCTCCAATATTCCAAGTTCACTGTGCTCCTACGCGGTTAAAATCTCCAAGCACTATTCACTATTTTTACTAAACGCGCTCTAGGAAATTAATTTTTGAAACGAATCATTTTAAAAATATAACGAAGTTATATTACCATGTATTTAGGTCTAATAAGACTAGAAAATATTCCTCGTGGCAAAAATCCAATTAAATCATTTATTAAGCCATAAATTAGGTTTAAATAAAATAATAGTTTTTACGAGTCCTCACATGAGTCGAGTATTAACTCCTCAAATCTCCAATAAATTTGTATCCATGCGTCTTTTGGAAAACTATCCACGCGTGAGTAGTATATGCTCACTTAGAACTTATTCACCTTTAATTCTCGATTAACTTTTCTTAATCTGCTATTGTCCGTTCTTAATTTCCCCAGGATAATCATGCTCTCGAATATAATATCACCTCGAAACACTCGTGTTCACTATCTCGCACTTAAACAATCCTTCCGAAAATTGAATTGTTAACGGGACATTTTAAAAACACAATGAAGACATTATTCCATACGAATGGATTTAAAATGGTCGTAATAAATTATTTGGGGAAAACAGGTGGATAAATACTTAATGAAACCATTAATATTCGAAAAAAATAAGAAATTTTTCGGGTCTTCACACATACTGCCCGAGGAGTCTTATTCACTAACGCTCTTCACTTGTAGCATCGATTATACTCCTGTCTCTGAAAAGTACCCCTCATAGAAATATTTGGTATGAGCAGTTGCTCACTTATTTGATGTTGAGGGCATTTGTTACATATTTCTTAAACCTCTCCCAATACTCATAGAGAGACTCACCTGGGTGTTGTTTGATACCACAGATTTCCTTCTTTAAACTCGCAGCTCGACATGCCGGAAGGTACTTGTTTAAAAAAATTTTCTTCAATTGGTCACATGGTGATACTACCTGGTGGTAGGTAGTTCAACCAATCTTTCGCGGAATCTTTCAAAGAGAAGGGAAAGACCCTCATTTTTATCTGTTCATCAGTAATTCCCGAGAGGTTTCATACTGTTGCAGACGACGTCGAACTCTTGCAAGTGCTTGTAGGGCTCCTCACCTGGTAAACCATGGAAAGATGGTAAGAGATGAATTAGGCCAGATTTTAACTCCAAAAATGTGTTATCATTTAAATTTGAAAAGGTAATGCACAAAGGTTGCTGATTTAAATTAGAAGCAGCCAACTTCCTTAGTATTTGTGCATTTACCATGGTGATTTCCTCTTGATCCGAGTCACTCGAAGTGTCACCAGATGAATCTGTTGGTTCAACTTCTGGCTCAGGTCTCTGGGATGCAGCACTGGAATGCTCCTCTCTGAGCTGTCTGGTTTCTTTCCTCATTCTACGCGCACTCTTCTCTACTTCAGGATCGAAAATTAATTCGCCTATACGAGAAGATCGAGGCATAAACTAGAAAAATATCAGAAAATTTGAATAAAATTAAGATTAATAAGAAACAAATACTTAACGTCAGTCCCTGGCAACGGTGCCAAAAATTGACAGGGTGTCAAGCATGCGCAATAATAATAATAAAAACCTACATACCACTAAAATCAGTCTATAATTAATCCTAGGTACCGGAGCAGAGACTTTAGGTGTGCAATGGGTTACTTGATTCACCCTGTTCTCGAAGAGTTTGCTTAATCCGATATACCAGAATTAATTAGTTGACAAAAATTATTAAATAGTAGACAGTGGCAAGTAGGGTCGTTTCCTCAGGGATTGGAGATATTTGTCTCTTTTAAATTTCAATTGATAAAGGGAAATTTTATCGGAATGAAACTAAAAATAATTAAACAATTAAACTAAAAATGAATAATTAACTAGCACAAATGCAGCAGAAATTAAATCAAGAATAGATAAATTCCAACTAAGGATACAACTTCTTAGACAGAGTCCACTTACCCGATCATTAATGCAAGGGAGGTTCACTTAATTTATTAATAGGCTAGTTATAGTCGGCGAAGGACTCTAACGATCAATATTTTCTTAATTTATTGATAACCAAGGTACAACCATTGATTACCCCTAACCAGAAAATACTTCTAGGTACGACCGTAGGAATTAATTTTTCAATTGCATTAATGACTAGAAAAATCTAACCCCAATCAACACGCTGCGAGAGTTATTTAAATTAGATTGCATGTTCCCTTAGTGTGTAAACACGCCAGTTGCCACTAATATTAATCAATCAAACAATTACGGATTTAATTGGCTAACTTGACAAGAGATTAATAAATCACATTAAACATCGGACCCTTGACATCCAATCAATAAAATAATTCCATGAAAATTAAAGCAGACAACATGCAAATATTAATAAATTGAGAGACGCGTGAAAACTAATTAGATCTCACAGATTTTCGGGACTACACCGTTGAATTGATCCTTGACTAGATGAAAGGTTTAGCCACGCCGCATAATTAAATCTTCACGCAAATTAATTGATTGAAAAAACATTGCATTTTTACTAGAAAGCAAGGAATAAAAGATATTCTTCCCGTTGGAAAATATTGTCAAACATCTGGAATGCGTTAAAGGCCAGTAAGAAGAAAGAAAACTAAAAACTATACTAAAAGCTAAAAACTAGAGCCGTCCCAAAAGAGATGTCCCTGGCCTCTGTACGACTCCCCCTTAAAGGCCAAAAGCCAATGACTCAATGCTTTCTACCCCGTGGTCCCCACCGAAATTGAAAGCCAAAAAAGGGAATACAAAAGATGCGGCTCAATTTCCTTTTTGTTTCCTCGGCTCCTAGGGCTCTCATGGCCCTCTCTTCATCAGCTCAATCTTTTGTTTTCTCTCTTGTGGGCCACGTTGAGGGACCTTTGCAGAAGACTCCCATTTGTGAAGTAATTTGCTTCAGAAAGTGCCTCCTTTTTGTAGTTTTCTGCTCTAATCCCTGAAATTAATTCCAGATACCAAATATAAGTAGATATCGACAATTAACACAATATTTGACAGGGACAAAAGGGAAAATTAATAATAAAATTGCTAACAAATAATACCCTATCAACCACAAGCTTATCTCAAGTGCAATCAAGATACAGACCCTTATTCTAGTGCTCTCCACTATTTAGTACTCAAGTACAAGAATCCATAATAAGATAATTCACATCTCGAGTCAGCCGGTTCCAAGAGTAAATCACCCCTACTAGAGATTCCTACCTGACGTACATATCTATCCATGATAAGGGATTTCCACTTATAATAGGCACGATTCATAGTTTACGTCCAAAAATAGCACTTAGTCCTTTACACTTATTCACATAAGCGGGACCATATCACCACTTGCCCTAAACTCACTCCAGGCAAAGACCACGTGAAGCAGCTCTGATTGTGAGAACCCGTAAAACCCTAATATTTTTCCTAGGGTTTATTTCCCCTTAATTGCATGTTTTCTGCATTTTCTGGCTTAGGAATATTTTCTGGTGAATTTTATGAGTAATTATAGTTTTTAGATAATTTTTCTAGTATTGGAGAATTTTTAGAAAATTAAGAATATATTGGACGTGGGACCCACTAGTGCGAAAAGTTCGGAAAAATTCGGCCAATAAGGTTAAGTTTCGGATACTGTGTAAAATTTATCGGGTGTTAAGAGATAAGTAGAGAGTGAGATTTGATTGATGTGAGAGGAAAAAGAAGTGATAAGATTGCATTAATGAGGTGACAAGTGTCACCCTCTTATTGGTTTTACTTTAAGATTTACTATTCCAATTTTTGACTTTTTTTGACCAAAGGTTAAATATCTTAAAAATTGTACAAAAATCACCATTTTCTTTCCTTGTGGCCGGCCCTCTCTCTTGCAAGAAGGAAGGGAATTCTTCAACATTTCAAGCTTCCAACTAGTCCAAATTCACCAAACCAAGTGTTTAAATTGGTTTTTACTCCATACAATCCTTCCTTTTAGTGATAGTGAGTGCTTTAGTGAAGCTTTTTGGAAGAGCTAAGGTGTCCAACATCTTCCTCTCTCTTGTTTGCTTGGTAAGTGATGCTTGAACACCCTACTTCACTTAATGATGCTTAAATGGTGCCTAATGGGACCTAAAGTGATGGATTATGTGATTTATTTCTTGATTTGAAGTGATGTAGTGAAGTTTTTATTTTTTTGAGGAATTTTCTGATTTAATATGAATGTGATGTTGTGATCATCTATGATGGTTGATAATGAGGGGGAAAGACTCTAGTAGGTGTGAATTAGTGATAATAGCAACTAATTTTGGCTTTGGAGTGAATTGTGAAATGTTAGGGTTTCAAAACCCCTAATTCTGTCCGGTTTTTGATCATAGGGTTAGAGGCTGAATTGGACTTTGCTCAAAACATAAAAGTTGTAGGTATTGATGAGTTTGAAGTGCCTGCAAAATTTCAGGTCATTTGGATTAGTGTAGAGTGAGATATGTCGATTTTACTGTTGCTGTTCTGGGTTGATCAGAATGCGAAAACTGCACTTGTAATTGGCCATTTTGACTGGAATTGCTTTGAATTTAGGTGTTGGTGTCTTCTGATGAAATGTAGATGGATGTCTTAGCTACCATATGCCTTTGGAATTTCGGCATTTGGACCTGTATAGACTGAGTTATAGTAATTACAGCATTATGTGATTTGTAAACCTGTTTTTGGTGGTTCCGGTTGAGTATTTGGCACATTTGACCTAGTTGTGCTAGGATTTGGACTGAGTGGCCTTCTACATTGTTGTATCCCTGTTCCATAGCTTCGAAACGGTGGGTCTTACACCCCATCCGATAATCATAGTGAAATTGACGCCATTACCGTAAAATAAGGGCAAAACAGTTTTTCTATTCGGGGCCAAGACTAATGCTATTTCTAATTTCTGGTTTGCTATCATGCTTATTTATGCATATGAGATCCTATTGGGGTTGTGTTCAGCATTTTTTTATGACTCGTTATCGAGTTTCATTGTATTTGCTTGCTTGTTCTAGGAGGAAACGGTGGTGCACGACGTTCGTTTAACGACGGTGCATGAAACATCATCTTCTCACTTGGTGAGTATACTACTCACTTAAATGTTATTATGTGGCTTTGTTATATGTGGTTGTGTTGCCTTGAAGGCTTATTTGGATATTGTAATTGATTAAGGTGAGGGTGTACTTGACCGCCCTCACCCTTTTGATAGTATCACTGACTGTCTACTGTTTCACTGTTTTACTGAACTTGATATATGAGTTATTGCATTCCATTTCATGGAAGCTGATTTGGTGTTATTTGGACGAATGTCCAACGACCTTACTGTATCACTGAGCTCAACTCCGTTAGGTAGTCAATTGGATCGAGCCGGCGAGGGCTTGGTCGTGATAATTGACATGCCACGGGGACTGTACTGGGGAATCGTGTGGTAATGAGACCCTCGGTTCTGGTATACTCGAGTATTACCAAAATGACTGAATGGAGTGCGGGCCCGGTTGGGGAATGTTGGGTGGAAGGAATGGAAGTAAAGAGTTGTCTACGGTTGGTTATTTCTTTACATTGACGGAGGGTCAATGAGGTTGGATCAAGAATATAAGCGAGGAAATGGGCTCTTGAGAGCCGTCCGTATCCTTTCACTGATTTGATTTACTTCTTATTTGCATACTTGAACTGAACGGTTATGCTTATGTGATCTTAGCTGCTATGGTGGTTGTATTCTCACTGGGCATATAGCTCACCCCGTTTCTTTTGTTTCCTTACAGGAATATGACTCTTTTGGAATGAATTTGTTAAATGGTTGCCGAATGAACTAGATGAATGCCTCTTTTGTATTGCATATAAAATGGGACCCTAAATGTATCATTAGGGCCGTTTTCACTTTTGTTTTGGTAACCACATATGTAGTGACTTTTGTATCAC